GCTGAACGAAGATGCAGAACAAAAGGGATATCTTCTCTTCCTCTAATTTCTCCTTTACTTGAAAATCCAAACTTTCTTGTGCTGACTTAACTCGAATTAATGATTTGGTTAGTTAATAATCTATTTCACCTGGCTGTAAGCTAATTTAGCAAATTAGTTGATAACCTAGCTAGTTGATAACCTAGTTAGTTAATAATCTCGTTGAGGCACATCTGTGGCTTCTGGATTCAGCTTCCTTTTCCGTCAGAAGCGATGGCACTGTGTGTGCTGCTTTTGCTGTGCTCCCCTGGGGCACCCGTCCCAGGAAACCCCACTGGGATCCGTACAGCAGTTTTGTACTTCTTCTCACTGTTTTTCTGCCACAGAGTTCAGGATATGTTTTTCTAGGGATCTGTGGTGAGCTGGACTGGAATGACTGGAAGCAGATTACTCTAGAGGCACTTGAGCTCTAGCCCCTGTGATGCTTCTGCTTGTTGGATACCCACCTGACCCTCTCCTTTCTTTAGAGAAAGCCTTTTCCTGGGAGCCAGGCTGGGGTCCCTGCTGCTGTGTCAGGGTCAGCAAAGGTGCTTCATTCCTCCTCTCTCCCAGGAGGGGGAAAGTGGCAGTGGGGAATGGAGACTGGGGCTGTGTCCTGGCACTGCTCTGCCGCCCGTATGGAGGAGGAGGAGGAAGAAGAGGAGGAGTTGGTGAAGCTGCTGAGAACAGCAAGGGAGAGGAGGAAGGAAGGAGGATGATCTGTCACTAGAGATTTTCTTTGCCTTTAATTATGTTCTGCTCTGTCATCGAGGTTGGAGCCACACTCCTAAACCTCGTTTTTGTGCACCTTTCCCCACCTCCAGACGTTGGGTCAGTGTCCAGCTAATGTTAGAGAAACTGTAGATACAATCAGTGGTTGCTCAAGTTCCCTTCGCCTCCTCGTGGGGCTGCCACATCTGTTGGAGCAAAATCGAGCAGCACTGCAGTGGCTTCCTACTCGGTGAATGAGCGTGCGTTGCCCTCTGTGCCAAAACGGGCTGTAGCACACTACAGCACAGACTGCACGCTGCCCGTGAGCAAACAGAGCAACTCCAGGATGCTCATGTGCTCTGAGCGAGGCCTCAGGAGAAGCCAGAATAGGACTGAAGGATAATACAAGCTGTTGTGATGCTGGATTTGTACTCTCCCCTCTCAAAATCCAGCCAGCATACCTGGGTGCTCCAAGGTGGTGCCCGAGAAGAGAAAGCTTTGGGGGATTCCCTGCTTCCCTGCTCTTAGTAGAGAACAAAAGCTAAGACTCACTTTGAAACGATACGTAGACACCATCATTTATTAGGTATAATAGGTGTAATGAAAACTTTTATGATCATTTTTTTCCTGAACAGATAACATTACATAAAGAATTGCAAGTCATTTTATGCAAACTACTAAACTACTTTTTAACTCTCTTTCGTTTTAATTTCTGTCCAACTAGGAAACATCTTCTTTACGTATTTGCCAGTTCATGTCTAGCTAATCCCTGTTGCATATATTCTCCCCATTGGTCTGATACACCTATCATGTTTATCGATTAAAGTTAAAAGTCACTCCATAAAAGTGAATGGAGTTAATTGCTTTAAAAAAAAAAAAAGTTAAGTCCTGTGCCTTTGTTAGTTTTAGGTACCCAGAGGTTTTTCTACTTCTCATTCTTTGTAGTAAAGAACATTCAGCAGGGCACTTTACATGAAGGACAGATAGGTATAAAATTGCAGGTGTGTTACAAGCTAATAATCCTCTGTAGCTAAGGATTTCAATGCAATTTTTGTTTCCACATAGCAGAATTGTCCATTTTTTCACTTGAGAGAAGAAATGAAGCGTTATAAAATTAAGACTAACACGGTAGAAACCAGCAGTCTTGAGTGTACTTCCTTGCTTGTGGTATATCCAGGCTTGCAGCACTGTGGAGTACAAGACACTGAAAGGCATTTTATGATGTGATTTTCACAATGAGAGCCTAAGTATGAGATGGTAAGGGCTATTTATGCATTTCACACTTATGTACGACAGTGTACACTTTCCACTTTTAAAATACTTTTGAACAGTAAACCAAAGAAAAATGAGCCTTTTAACAAATGTGTGGTACCTACATTCACACTGCTCCAGGTCCATTCCTGATGTGTAGGGGAATCCTACCTCTGCTTAAGTCTTTCCTGGCCCTTTTACGCTGGATAAAAGAGCTGGACTGGTACATTAGAGCTTTTTAAAGTCATAGATTTTGATACAGCAGATAAAAGAGGCAGACAACCATGAAGAAAGCCGCACCAGGAGGCTGTTCAAACCAGGTGTGTAGGTTGCAGGGGTGGCTTGTCATCCCCTCTGCCTCTGCCTGCTCTGCGCTGGCCCAACAATGGCATACTAGGATTTTTAAGGGTTTACTGATGGTCCTTGCTTACTCTACAAATATTCAGAAATAAATACTTACAATCCACATGGATGGGTAAAAGTCAAGACGCTGGCTTTGGTAGGGGACTTTCTCTTCTCCTTTTCTTACCCTGTCCCTATGGCTTAAGTGAATGGATGAAAAATGGAAGCAAAGCTATGAAGTGCTGGCTGACTAATTTACTACTTTGGCAGTCAGTGGGTGAACGTACTTGGCATCTTGAAAAATGTGCAAAATCTTCAGGTTAAAAATGATATATACAAAATGGAATTTTTGTGAGCTACATTCCTTCAGGAAGATGATATATGTTGCTTTGTTTACTGGCAGTTTAAAAAGCTTTTCTGAATTTAATTAGGAATATCAATGCATTTAAGATACAATGGAATCCACATATACCCCGCTCATGGGAATGAATGAGGAAACACAAGGGTTTTTAACGGTTGGACTTTATGTAACCAACCCACATCAGATACTAAGATCCAAAATAGAGTAGATAACTTTATTGCAGAATGCCGGTACCGTTTTTCTACACACATTTGAAAAGATACCAGCTTTTTCTACTAACATCTGATGACAATATTCTGGAAAACGTAGCTGGTCTGTCAGATATCTCTGGAATACGAATGCATTTTTCCTGGTGCTTATGGGGAAGAGTAAAAATATGTGGGCTTCACATTACCCAAGATCTGATCTTCATAGTTAGGAAGGCAGCAGAAGAAGAATCCCAAGCATATTTCCATAATGGCGGTGGTCCAGCCAAAGCCGTAGGCCCAGCTGAACATATTGATTCCTGTCAGTGGAATTTCAGTGGAGAACTTTACTGGATAAATGACCAGGCCCATGATGGAGAACACAGCTGAAGAAAGAGGAGAAAACAAAGAATGCTTAAGCTAACACCCATCATGTTGCCTGCCTCCGTAATACCTGTAGCTAAACCCACTCATGTTTAGGAGGGTTTGAAAATCGGTCCACTGCCGTGACAGACTATATGGTGGGTTTTTTTTGAGAGTGAACAGAGGCAAACACTTGAATATACAACCAGCTGAGGGAAATACCAGTTCTAGTACGGATATACCTACACAAGCTAAACTTGACTTCATATACTGCCTTACCAGCGACAAAAAGCAAGCCTCCAATCCCTCGTATGAAGTTGAACCGAAGCGTGTCAATGGCAAACGCTATGATGGCCAGAGCAAAACAGATGACTAGAAGTATAAAGCCGACCAGGTACGTGGCAGCAGCAGCTCTTCCCCAAGCTGAAATCAGAAGGAAGATACATTAGAAAGGAACAAAAAATCCCTTGCAGTATTTTTCTCTGGTTTATAACGACAGGTTAATTTAAAAGAAATGCAAAAAGAAGGTCAGCTCCCAAGAAGGAAAGCACAGGAGCTTTCTCTCCTCTTGTAGAGGAACATTTTAGTTCCACAAGAAATCATTCGTAAGCGCAGAATGCATAAAAACTCTTGCTTGTAGAAAACATGGCTTGTCATCCGCTTGTAGAAAACGCAGTGAGGTTCGTGTGCAAGCTTCCTCTTTAGATTTAACAATTAAGAATTGAGATAAAAGTGATTGTAAAGGTGGAATGTAAAGAATGGACACTCTCCTTCGGTAACAAAGGTTATTGCCTCAGCAGATGACATAAAACCAGCAGCATTTTGCACGGACAAGGAGAATTAGGCTGTCCCTGAAACTAATTAAATTTTTCCTTTAAAAAAAAAGTGTTTATACAAGCACTACTACTCTGGTATGCAAACTTAAAGTTATGGCAATAGTCCATAAGTGTCAAAATTCAGTGGTTTCTGCCTTTTCAGCCTTTGTTTAGCCCTGTGTCCTAAATGGATCTAAAGATTTGGAATCAGTTTTGCAGGGGAATTTGACATCTGCCTTTGATCCAAAGTCAGAATCATTTAATTATGCAAAGTTTGTTCCGGATATGAATACTTCCATTTTCAAATTATATAACTTTATATTATAACATGTCAGATCTAAGCATATTGTGTTGGCATGACAACTGAAAAAAAGATATTAGTTATTCAATATTTTAAGTCTTGAGGGGCAACTACTGCCCAGGGAGATCAAAGTTTCTCCTCTTCTGAACGTAAAAAGCCCACTTAGACACTTTTTAAATTGTTCATGTAGATGGAATAAGCAGTTAAATTCTGCTGGGCATCTACAGACTTCATCCTCTTGCCTACACTATGTTTTTGTAAGGTGTCAGCTTCTAATCAAATATACACAGCAGCAGTGTCGAAAAATTATCACATCCCAAACAACCCTGACAATAATTATAATTTAACTTAAACATAGTGCACGCTGTTCAGTAAAGGTTCCCAATGGAACTGAGAAGGTTAATATCTTTGATATCCAGCAACCTGACAACTTGTTTGCTTCGAGCATGCAAGTAATAAAATGCAGAGTGTCCTACTTTCCCCCTGGCCAGTGTTGGGTAGGCATGAAAGCCACCGCCCTGTCCCTGGTGAGTGACACCTTGGTGCTCAACCTCTCTTCCCCCAGGCCCCACACCGACTCTGCTATTAGACTAGAAAAATGGATCAGGATTTTCCAGCTCTACTTATCTTCCCATCAGCCCATCATAACCAAATTCTCTTTTTGTTTACTTTTCACCATCCCCGCCCTGCTTTATGATCTCAACTCCATTCTAGCTATTGCACTACATTTTCAGTTTTATGCCGTGTCCTTTTTCTTCCTTATGCCAAAAAGTTTCTGCCTGCTTATAGGGCTTTCCAACTGTATTATTTTTTCCCATAAACAGGCAGCTGCCTGAGAAGACTCAAAGGGACAGCAAAGATGTGCCTGCATCTCAGCTTCTAGCTTTTAGCCCAACCTCTTCTCTTGGGGATTTTACAGGAGGCTTGAAGGTAGAGCACGTGATGAGGAGGTGCAGGTGGGAGAGCAGCACCTTAGGCAGACTACCAAAGGAAACAGCCAGGAAGAGGAATTTCTCATACTGCCACATCTCAATTTGTCCTGTTGAGGATGGTCCTGCTCCCAGCCTCTCTGCCACCCCTCTAAAACAGCAAAAAAAGGGGGCACATGGCCATAGGAGAAGTTGCTCAGCAGCAGTGACCTCACTGCACTTGGATATGAGTGTTCTCACTTCTGGCAGGAGAGCGAAATGACAAGGACATATGGAGGTGACAGTTTTTGTTAGGCGCACGACTGGTTGTGCTTAGGTGCAAAACTCTGGGTCAAGTGGTGTCGTTTCCCAGAGCAGACTCAGAGCACAGCTGCCCACCTGGGGAGTGCTGAGGGACCACAAGACCTGAGGGTTTCATCTCACCCACTGCCACCGCCACTTCTGCGGGCAGCAGACGGTCTGCCAAAGCTCAGCCTTGCCTCCCGAGAGGAGCCGACGGCAGAGCTCCGTCCTCCGAGGTGGGAGCATCCCCTGGGCTGGGGGCTCAGGGGGCGGCACCTGGTGGCCACAGCCATGTGTGGTGGCACCTTGCCCATGCCACCGTCTCCCTCCTCCACCAGGCTCGCCCAGGTGTTTCTCCTGAAGTCGTGTTACAAATGCTGTGACTGTACGAGAGCAGATCGGGTGCACACCCAGCCCGCCGGGCACTGCCTACATGGCAAGAAGAGACACGCTGGTTGCAGGATGCTCACAACTTAAGGAGGCATTGCTTCATCGCCTAACAGCCAGCTTTGTGACTCTCACGTCTACCACAGAGAAAAAATTTAAGGTTGTAAGAAAATGAATACGCAGCTCCAGGTAAGGCAAGAGGACTGCATGGAAGAGCCACTGTTTTGGTTTTTTTTTTTTTGAGGAACTATGCCCTGATTTCGTCTATCCTTTACAAAAAATAGCAGTTATCAGTAGCTGAAGCCCACAGTGTGCAAACACCTTACCTTTCTAGGGTAAAAGGTAGCAAAAGCTCTATTTAGAAATAATTGCAACTGTTTCTATATCTAAGATACTTATTTTTTTCCTTGTGCCAGCCAGGAGCACTAGAGTAGCTTAGTGTCTTTACCAATAAAAATAATACTTAGAATTTCTTAAAAATGTCAGAATTGGATGAATTAAACTTGTCAGAAAACACTGACAAGTGAGTGGCTAATCTGGTCTCAAATCTTTCCTTATCTGTTAATATTCGTTTGTCTCTTAGTTCTTGTTTTGTCTGTTTGTTTGTTTTGTTGGGTTTTTTTTACAGTAAACTAAAAGCATAAATAAATTGTTTCAACTGCAAAGCTTTTTTCCTAAAACTGTGAATCCAGGCTGAAGAATGATCATAGATGCAACACTAACTCAAAGCAGACGACTCTAGAGGCAGCTGAAAGGATCTAGCCCACCTGTCAAAAAATCAAAACCAGAAACAGAGGCAGCAGCAGGTTACAGGACATCAGGCCAAGTCTGTGAAATCATTTAGCAGTTTGTGAGACCTATTTTCTGATGTTTTGTCTCTTTAAGAGTTAAAATGTGCTTATTAGAAAAAAAAAAAAGTGTGTTTATGTAAGAGTGTGCTTCAATACCAGCAGGATCCTGTAGCACTTGCGTGTCAGTCCTATTTCTCCCCTTTTCAGCTCCTCTATCAGCTGAAATAACACTAATGAGCACTATGAAAGGGTTTACAGGAAGCTACACATCGTCTGCTCTTGAAAACTTCTAATTTTCTGAGCAATTGTATCTTAAAACCAGACCTTGCTACCCTAAACAGGCAAAAGAAATCCACATTTTCCTGCCTATCTCAAGCAGAGCAATGGCAGTGCTTCTACTTACAGTGTTTCGTACATCAATATGTGAGAGTCCAGACTACCCACAGGGAATGCAGTAATATGGGACAACTCGAAAATGAAAACAAGTGCCAGCCTTCTAAAACTCTCTGCTGTGTGAGGAGACCCCTGAGCTGATTTAGAGATGAGGAAGAGTCCACCCATGCCAGTACACAGCTCACTGTACCTTATGAGTGAGATAATTAGCTGAGACAGGATGCAATGACAACTCAGCTTTATTACTCTGCTATTAAAGCTGGCACAGTTTCGAAGTAGCAGGACTACCTCTTGCCTTGCACCATCTAAACACATTCTGAATATCCTATTGCTAACTGCAGCTGTAGGGAAGCTGATGGACTTCATTAGAGATCCAGTACCAAGAATGTCTCCAGTTTTCTGCCTTCCTGCTTTTACTTCCTCATGCATTTTCCAGTTTGCAAAAGTGTGACCACTGTTTGTGCTTTACACGTAAGGAAACAAACTTCCTTGCTCAGCAGTAAGTTGAGCCAAGACCTAGTCTTTCCTTAGCCTGCTGAGTTTCATGCCCCAAACAGTCCCTTCAAATAAGAGCTGTCGTGCCTTGAAAACAGCATGTGAAGTCTGCTTCCCCCATGATGCACACAAATATCTATGTTCTTGGTGCATGTGGTTCAAAACACAGGAAAACATTCACAATAACATTCTCCTGTCTGTCTTCATCCGATACCCTCAAACCACATGAACTACTGAGTCTCTTTGGGTGACGTTTTCTGAAAGCAGCCCCAGAGAGTTTAGAAGTCCTTCTCCTGGTCTAATCAATAAGAACATGCTTCTCCAAATTCTCCTCCTGGCTTGAAGCTAAATACACAACTAGCACTGGAAAGAAAAACAAATGTTTGTTGCCAGCTCACAGACACCGACAATTATCTACAGGTTCTTGCTGACTGATCATTTTAACCTGATCATTTTAACACATCAGCCGCTGCAGTGAATTGTGCAGTAATTTTAGGAAGAATGGTTTTAATTCAAAAGAAACAGGTTGCGACAGTAGAAGAAAATGTAACAGACTAATATTTTGCTCTGTTATGCTTCATACCACCAAGGGAAAGAAACACAAACCCTGCAGTTTTAGCTCCAGTCTTGCAAAACAATTCTTACAACAACTAAAATCTACCGTGGCGGTGATTCATCCCTGTGTTGTACATAATGAGAATGTTCCTAGGCTGAGTTTG